GAAGGAAAAAGGAGAGAATGAGGACAGAAGGAAAGAAGGAAAAGAATGAGGGAGGAATGCAAGAGAGGGAAGCGGAGGAAAAGAAGGAAGGAGGGAGAAGGAAGGAAGGAAAAAGGAGAGAATGAGGACAGAAGGAAAGAAGGAAAAGAATGAGGGAGGAATGCAAGAGAGGGAAGCGGAGGAAAAGAAGGAAGGAGGGAGAAGGAAGGAAGGAAAAAGGAGAGAATGAGGACAGAAGGAAAGAAGGAAAAGAATGAGGGAGGAATGCAAGAGAGGGAAGCGGAGGAAAAGAAGGAAGGAGGGAGAAGGAAGGAAGGAAAAAGGAGAGAATGAGGACAGAAGGAAAGAAGGAAAAGAATGAGGGAGGAATGCAAGAGAAGGGAAGGACGGAGGGAGAAGGAAGCAAGGGAAAAGGAGAGAATGAGGGAGGGAAGGAAGGAAGCAATTGATACTGAGGACGGAAGACCACTTATGATCTTCTGCAGGAGACCAGCAGGTCTGCAACTATCTGGGCCCTTCCTAATGTTGCCTCTCCCCTTTGCTTGCAGGCCATCATCTATGAAGGTCAGGATAAGAACCCCGAGATGTGCCGCGTGTTGTTAACTCACGAGATCATGTGCAGGTAAGTCATGCTCTGGTGCAGCAACACGGGCTGGTAATGGGTGGAATCAAGGAGGACCCCTGGGAAGCTTCAAGCAGGGCGCTTTGGGGTGTGAAGAAGGCGAGACGGTTTTGCAAAGCAGCGGAAGCGACAACGGGACGACCTGGAGGTTGGGCTCAATGGCTGGGAAGCAGCGGGAGGTCTGCAGGGACGGGAGTCAAAAAAGTCAAAATGGCCACCGTGGAGAATCCAAACTGGGGAGTTCAAAACAGCCACAGCCATGTTTAGATATCAGAAAAGGGATTGGCTGCCTGCTGTTGGGTTCAGGATGTTGAGTTGGTTGGACATTTGACCTGTTGAAGGAAAATATGTCTAACATTAATAACAAGACTGTCCAGAATTAATCTTTGGGGTCTAGCTGAAATCCATAGTTCTGCTGTTCTTGTTCATAAGGATCTGGGGCATGTGGTCTTGGCGAAGTGGTTTAAATTAAGATCAACAAGGAGCGTTTTAACCCAGTCATGATTTGTAGGAAGTTTGTTCCTCTTAGCCACAATTTCAAGGACTTTTTTTTCCCCACTGAGCCTGCTTTAACCTGGTCAAATCTCTCCCCAGTCCTGGCTTTGGAAAAATAGAATCATTCTACGTGGGGTGGGGTGGGGGGGGATAGGCATTTTTCAGAGTGCATCGACTTCTTCCAAGGGAGGGAAGGAGAGAGGGAGGAAGAGGAAGGAGATGGATGAAGGGGAGGGAGGGGAGAAGGGAGGGAGAGGAAAGGAAGGAGGGAAGGAAAGGAAGGAGGGAGGAAGAAGAAGGAGGGAGGAATGAAAGTGGGAGAGAAGGGGGAGAGGGAGGAAAGTAGGGAGGGGGGAGGGAGAGAGAAAAAGGAAGGGAGGGACGGAGAAGAGGGAGAGGAAAGAAGGGAAGGGGAGAGGGAGAGAGAAAGAAAGGGAAAGAGGAAGGCGAGGGAAAGGTGAGGGAAATAAGGAGAGAGAAGGCAGGTGGAGTGAGAAGGAGGGAGGAAGAAGAGGGAGGGATGAAAGATTGGGAAGGCAGGCAGGCTAAAAAAAAATACAGATCTGAGAAAGGTGGTTTGCTTGACACCATCAGAAGGTGATGCACAGATCAGTGGGCTGTAAGACTTGTAAGCAGACCCTCCCTGGAAGACCCTCAAGTCTCCCCCAAATATCAACATTGCAGGAAAAGCGACCTGTGCAGGTTGCTGGGTTCCCAGTCCATCCGGGTGCTTCTCATTCCCGGTGTTGTGAGAAAGGCGTTGTGTGTCCCTTTCAGTGTGCAAGCAAGATCGGGAGGCGTTTCCGATAGCATCTTCTCCCAGTACTGGAAAGCTTTCGCCATCAAGCTTCTAAGAGAAAGCATTTCCAGCCAAGGGAGCTGCAGCTGACAAAGGCCTGCGCCATTTAATAAAGTTAGAGCTACCGAGCTCGTCCTGTTGGTTTGCGGCTACACAATTGTAAAGCGCTCTTATTAACAAGGCTGTTCGGGTGCCCATAAATTCACCTGCTGCTGGCTGGGGAATTCTGGGAGTTGAAGTCCACGCATCTTGCCATGGTTGGACACACCTGTCCTAGGTATTCTCACAAAAAACTGACAGAATAACAGGGTTGAAAGGGACCTTGGAGGTCTTCTAGTCCAACCCCTGACTCAAGCGGGAGACTCTATACCAGACAAATGGCCGTCCAGCCTCTTTTTGAAAACCTCCAGTGATGAAGCGCCCACAACTTCTGGTGGCAAGCTGTTCCACTGTTGAATTGTCCTCACTGTCAGGAAATTCCTCCTCAATTCCAGCTTGCTTCTCTCCTTGATTAGTTTCCACCCATTGCTTCTTGTCCTGCCCTCAGGTGCCTTGGAGAATAGCTTGACTCCCTCTTCTTTGGGGCAGCCCCCTCAAATACTGGAAGACTGCTATCATGTCACACACACACACACCCCGGCCCTTCTTTTCACTGAACTAGAATTAAACGCAATTCCTGCAACCGTTCTTCCTACGTTTTAGCTTTAGGTCCCCTAATCATCTTTGTTGCTCTTCTCCGCACTCTTTCTTGAGTCTCTTCTTTCTTCCGCCTCCTGATCCTCTCTTCTAGGTTAAGGAGATCGCGGGGTGGGGGGGGCGGGGGGGAGGATCCTCACACCAAGTCTTTGCAGGATCCAAATCCTGGCACTTGTGATGTGCTTTTCAACTCCAAAGACTGGGCGCATAGAGGGTTGCCACCATGTTGCAGAAAGAAGGCTTAAGAAGGAAACCTGAGGACTCAGGATGGGCAGGATGGGCGTGTATATGTTGCCCCTGTGGCAACATCCGCACCCAGGACAAGCCAGGAAAGTTGGGGTGGGGGGGGGGGAAACCACCTCCCTCACCAAGTGCTGGGAGGAGAGCAAAGGAGCCTCCCTCGACAGCCAAACTCCCCAGCGACTTATTAACGCCACTGCTTTGTTTACGGGCCCGTTCTTCTCTTGGTGTTTTGCAAATTAGCACGTCTGCCTGGTTGCCAAGTTGGATGGCTAATTGATCTTCGGGAACCTTGCTAATGATCCCGGGGGCTAAGGGAATAGAGCGGGGGTGGTGGTGTCTTGGGAGTCGTAGGAGTGACTCGGGAGGGCAAAATATTGTGCCTTCCACGCATGCAACTTTGGCTGTGTTGTTTACGGAACAAGGACGACGGATGGAATTGCCGGTCCCCCGAGGGGAATTGGGGTGAATTTAGAGCTCTCGGCTGTTTATCAGATCAGCAATTAATTATATTTAATGTGAGGGGTGGTACTTGCTCTAATGATTGAGAAAACAGTAATTGGGTAGGGAATCGCGAAAAGGGTGGCGTACAAAGGCAGGGAAACGTAACGCGGAGACAAGATCCGGTCAGTTTCTCCGTCTCTCTCTCTCCTTTGGGGAGGTTAAATCCAGAAATCCACGTTCGACCGGCTGCGTTAGTGGTTTTTCATCTCTGGATTCCCTATGTTTGGTATAGGGATTCCTGCTTGAACAGGGGGGCTGGACTAGAAGACCTCAAAGGTCCCTCCCAACTCTATTACTCTTCTATTCCATTATGTAGTTTCTTCCAAAACAGTGTTTGTTGGCCCCGAAGGGGAACCCAAGTCCTGTTTCCAGTCGTCCAAACTTGGCACACTGCTTTGGAGTGTGAATCCCTGTTGGCATCTCTTTAAAGCAGCCGCTTCTTTTCCCTGGATGGTGCAGCTGCTCTCTGTGAAAAGACGCGGTTGCTTTAAAGAGCCGGAGATGGGCTTCTTCCGGCCCCATAAATGCTGCAAAGAACTTTTTTTCAAAAAACAAAACCACATTCAACCGAAACCACTTCACAGTGAGTGGGGGCACCTTTCTTGACTGCCCCCCCCCAATGGATGAGAAGCCCAATGGTTTGCAAGTTTTGTTCTCTGGCCCTTGAGAGCCAAAGAGGAGTTTCAGAGGTTTTTGGTTTTTTTGTGTGTGGCAAGAATAGCAATAGGAATAGCAGTTAGACTTATATACCGCTTCATAGGGCTTTCAGCCCTCTCTAAGCGGTTTACAGAGTCAGCATATCACCCCCAACAATCTGGGTCCTCATTTCACCCACCTCGGAAGGATGGAAGGCTGAGTCAACCTTGAGCCGGTGAGATTTGAACCCCTGAACTGCAGATAGCAGTCAGCTGAAGTGGCCTGCAGTACTGCACCCTAACCACTGCGCCACCTCGGCTCTTGCCTAGATAAGCCAAGGTTCATGCATGAGCTCAGTCGGTGGCCTCCTTCCTCCACCGCTGGAGGACCTACCCCCAGCCCCCTTGGGACTCTTTTAGAGCGCTGGTTTACTCTGCTGACTCTCTGCAGGGGGGAACTCGGGAAAAGGCGACACGTGTGGGCATCCGGTATTTCTGAATCATGAAATACAGACGTAGTACTAGAGCTTTTATAGTGTCTTTCAGTTCCATCTAGCAAGCCAAAATAGTTAAGGGAATAGAGGAAGGATTGGGGTTGATATGGAAGGGAGGGAGGGGAGAGATAGGATGGATGGATGGATAGCAATAGCAATAGCAGTAGACTTATATACCGCTTCATAGGCCTTTCAGGCCTCTCTAAGCGGTTTACAGAGAGTCAGCATATTGCCCCCAACAATCTGGGTCCTCATTTTACCCACCTCGGAAGGATGGAAGGCTGAGTCAACCCTGAGCCGGTGAGATTTGAACCGCTGACCTGCTGATCTAGCAGTAGCCTGCAGTGCTGCATTTAACCACTGCGCCACCTTGGCTCTTGAAGGGGGGAGGGAGGAGGGAAAGAAGATGGAAGGAAAGAAAGGAGGGAGGAAGCAGGGAGGGAGGAGGGAAATAGGATGGATAGGAGGGGGAGAGATAGGATGGAGGGGAGGGAGGGAGGGGAGAGATAGGATGTATGGAAAGAAGGGAGGGAGGAGGGAAAGAAGATGGAAGGAAAGAAAGGAGGGAGGAAGCAGGGAGGGAGGAGGGAAATAGGATGGATAGAAGGGAGGATGAGAGATGGGATGGAAGGGAGGGAGGGGAGAGATAGGATGGATTGATGGATGGAAGGGAGGGAGGAGGGAGAGAAGATGGAAGGAAAGGAGGAAGGGAGGAAGCAGGGAAGGAGGGAGGGAAATAGGATGGATAGAAGGGGGAGAGATAGGATGGAGGGGAGGGAGGGAGGGGAGAGATAGGATGTATGGAAAGAAGGGAGGGAGGAGGGAAAGAAGATGGAAGAAAAGAAGGGAAGGAGGGAGGAAGTAAGGAGGGTGGAGAGAAGGGACGGGGAGAGATAGGATGGATGGAAGGGAGGGAGGAGGGAGAGAAGATGGAAGGAAAGAAGGGAGGGAGGCAGGGAGGGAGGAGGGAAATAGGATGGATAGGGGAGAGATAGGATGTATGGAAAGAAGGGAGGGAGGAGGGAAAGAAGATGGAAGAAAAGAAGGGAAGGAGGGAGGGAGTAAGAAGGGTGGAGGGAAATAGGATGATAGAAGGGAGGGGGAGAGATAGGGAGGGAGGGGAGAGATAGGATGTATGGAAAGAAGGGAGGGAAGAGGGAGAGAAGACGGAAGAAAAGAAGGGAGGGAGGCAGGAAGCAGGGAGGGAGGGAGGAGGGAAATAGGATGGAAGGGCGGAAGGGGAAAGATAGGATGGAAGGAAAGAAGGAATGGAGGAAGGAAAGAAGCAGGGAGGGAGGGTGGAGGGAAAAAGGATAGATGGCAGGGAGGAAGGGGAGAGATAGGATGGAAGGAAAAAAGGGAGGGAGGGAGGCAAATGTTAAAAACGCAATACATATCCAAGTAGAAGAGGATTCTCTCCACACAAAACAGGCAACAAAGCTGCTTTTACAACAACCAGCTCCTCGCTTAGCCTTTTCTGCATCCGGGCAGCTTCATTCCGACAACACCCGAAGCAGATCAGTGGCCTGGAAACCCGGATGCTGCGATGGTCCTTAGTGTGGAAAAAACGGTCATAAGCCCCTATTTTCAGGGCTGGTGTAACTTCAAACGGCTACTACACAAACCGTTGTAAGTCGAGGACTGCCCATAGATGCTGACCTAATGGGATGCCTAAGGCCTTCTTCTTGGCCGTGTCCTTCATTCAGAGAGTTGATGGCGGGGTCATTCCTTTCGATCTTCAGGGAGGCTCATCGCCACCTTGAGTTCCCCTTTTGCCCTGACCGTCCCTCTCTTTCTTCCGCCCAACAGCCGCTGCTGTGACAAGAAAAGTTGTGGAAACCGCAACGAGACCCCTTCCGACCCGGTCATCATTGACAGGTAAGTACCGGCAGAAGACTTCTGAATGTCCAGAATGGGAGATGTTGTCCTGGGAGATGGCCGGAACCCCTCAGCAGAATTGGTGGAAGTGTTCAGTCCTAGAAAGTGAAGAGGGAGGCAAGGAGAATTCCCTTAGGGAATAAAGGAATAATACTTATTCTTTTTTTTAATTTGGTCTAGTGGTTAAGGTTAGAAAACAGGAGTCTGTGAGTTCTAGTTTACCTAAGCCTAGAAAGCTGGCTGGGTGATTTTGGGCCCAAAATCAAGAGACAGGGAGTTCTATTCCCACCTTAAGCATGAAAGCCAACTAGGTGACTTTGGACCAATCACCAGGAGAACAGGGAATTCTAGTACCACCTTAAGCATGAAAGCCAACTAGGTGACTTTGGACCAATCACCAGGAGAACAGGGAATTCTAGTACCACCTTAAGCATGAAAGCCAACTAGGTGACTTTGGACCAATCACCAGGAGAACAGGGAATTCTAGTACCACCTTAAGCATGAAAGCCAACTAGGTGACTTTGGACC